CTTGTTTTCCGGACCCGCTTAGAAACCCAGTGCTCCTATCATAGGCCAGTCAAGCGTTGGTACATCGCCTGAACGATTTTACATCCCAAATTTCCAAGATAGAGCATCGCTTCTTTCGAAATTATCTACTAACGCTTAAGAAGTATAGGATTGATAACCTTTACTCTTGTGTGGGTCAGACAAGCTCATGAACAATCGGGTTCAATCATCCACCGGCTGGATGGTCCAAGCTGCAACAAGGGACGTGATGCTTGTCCCTTTTTTCCATAGCCTCGAATCTTTAGAATATTCAGTGGACTTGAACTATGCACAGCAGCAGTGTTGTCATCACACAGCTTAACTACAGGTGATAAAAAGGGCATCATAACCTTTAGGAGCAGCTTTAGGGCTTCAAGTTACGCAAGTTGCGGAAAATGATCCGATCGGATCGCGAAGATAGTCAGAGGGATTTAATTATTTGAGTTCTCGGGTGGGAGGGATTAGACAATGTGAAACGATGGAGCAGTCATATTACATACAAGATTACAAGGGAGGTATTCAACATAGAAACGCCTTTTGTGTCTTGATCCATCAGAAAAGTAGCTGTCTACTACGGTTCGCTGAGGTAGCTATCCCTTTCAATGTTACAAACTTGACTTCTGTGGACAGATGAAACCCGTGGCCAGCCTCATGACATCCGGGTAGGTGTGGCTGCTCCCAATGCATTAATTACGCTCCCTGCCTCTATGTTCAATCCGATTCAGCGTTCTTGATCTTTGGTTTACATAGTGAATCATCCGCATGTGTTCGTTTGCCTCCTTACAGGTCACTCTTTTCAGTCAAACGTGATCTGATGAGATTATCACGAAACGATCATGACGACTATTTCTGCTCTTATGCAAGTATCAAACGGAACAGGTTACGTGAAATGATGTAAGAGCTTAAGGAGCATCACACGGGAACTGATTCATTTCATATATACATTTATATCTTTTGTTGATTTTGACTATGGACCCTTCAGAAGTTATCTTACCGCACAAACTTTCGTTCATTTCATCAACTATATAAACAAATAAAAAACTTCCTCATTTCTAGTAAGCTCATCACTAAGCGCATCACCGGCCTGTTCGAGGTTTGAACCATGGATTTCTCGCATTGAACCCCTGTGATCTGTCACTGTGGCAACCTGTTACCAGATGATCAAAGGGATCTCCCTTGATGACAGCTGGGGAACACAACTGACTGACGGTAATTCGAGACAACGGGTAAAAAAATGGACGATCCTATTTGGTTTTAGAATGAACTTTGATAACCAATAATGGGACCGAGGTGATATAATCTGAATTACTACGATAAATTTCGAAAGATCTCAGTTACCATGTTTATGATGGAAACTAACTGTGAAGTGAATGAGTGGTTGACTTGAAAGACGCCAATGCAGAAACTAGATGATCTATTGCTTAGTCCAAATTTGAGGTAAAGAAAATTAAAAAATAGAAGCAGCTTCTTGTTGGATGCCTTATTTGTCTATGTTTGCATCTATAACGTTGTTTTCACATATAACAAGTTGATTTGAAATTATCCAAAAACGACACAACACGATTGCAACTCTTTTAGTTCAGTAAAAGCTGACTACTTCAGTTTTTCGAACTTTTCATGGCGTGGAATAATTGATATTACACTAGTGAAACCATTACTCTTTTACTGACTTTTATTAAACAGATAGCAAAAAATTTGTTTTTCGGGGAGAAAATGTTAATCAACAAGGCATGAAAGAGCCATTAGTAGGCAGAATTCAAATAAGACCTGTTTGCAATCGAGCTGATGGTGAAATGTGCCACTTTGAGGATAAGTTGAACCACAGTTAAGCGGCACTATAGTTTGAGGGAAACATCCGTTGGCAAATTGAGTTTTCATTATTCAACATTGTCCGTACTTCTTGTCGGGTATAAATAATATACTTGTGAACAGAATTGTATTCTTTTAAAAGATGTCTTGTTGGTTGCAATGATTCACATCAACACCTCTGTTATGATCGACGTTTGAGTAAATGCGGTTGTGAATCGGTTTTAAATCATGCTGTCGCGCATAAAATCGGCTTAAGAGATTTTTTGTTTAGCACAGTTTATCCCGCAAGAAGGAGCAATGAAATCTTGAAAACACTGTACTAATGTTTTATCGTTTTCAAGAGACATCACTGTTGTTTACACACTGATCCAAACCCGAACGTGTGGAGTTGTTAATCAAACACTAACCACTTGGGTTAAGTTTCCCAGCCGCCTCCCACAAATCAACAATACACAATGGCATCTTTAACAGTATATTGATAGTTCTTGCTTACTTGTGATCATGCATCAGGGAGACGGTCGCTGTCTGGTGAGGTCCGGGTACGTTCAGCGAGACTAATAAATGAGTGCCTCATCACGTATTTATCAAGCTAACGAGAGTCACTATCGATAGCCCAAGCAATTAGCTCATCTGCTTCAAAATCCTTCGTGCCCAATTTCACGTCCTAGTTGATTGAATACATTTGTCCTGTTGATTATTCTTTACAAAGAGGAAAAACTTTGGCGTGCTTCTAAGGCATTTCAGTGTGAGTTAAAAGTTGTTTCGTCTTGACAACTACACTGCAGTATAGATATTGAGAAAAAATACTTTCCCCTTATTTTACTTCTCTACCAACCTACATGCTTGAATTTGCAGCAGCCTCACTGGAGAATATAGGAGAAATCTTGTGGATGTTTAACGATGCGATTCCGACTACAATTGGTCATTTATCACCCCTAACCAAGAGTCATCTGACCAGCAACGGGGTATCGACTACTACTCTAACCGATGTCGAGCTGGGTTACAAGACTTTATGAGCCTTTCACGAGCGTTTGTGGCTATTTTTCAGTGAAAACAAGTCCTATGCTCATACATCACAAAACCCTTTTTCAGTAAAGCAAAACCCACCTATTCGCGGTTGGCATCTGTACCTGGCGCGTCGGACTAAGCTCTAAACGAATCAATCCAGGCGTTGCAAAGAGTTTTAAAATTTGTCAAACAATCATTACAAAGTCCTTCCCGTGATTAGAAAACCTCCTTTTGGTGCATTTTATCGAGCAAAACACTTCATTTTGCCTGTGACACTTGCTTTTATACTCTAT